TGCCAAGTTGTGTCAAGACAGTTTTTGCATTTTTACCACCACATGTCAAATTGTGATCCAACTGTCATATGCTTAAACTTTGAGTTAAAACTCGTCCTCTTTTGTGATTTTGATGTGTACATATTGTTAGTTTGATCCATTCTTACCTGTTTCTTCATTTCACTCCCAAATTGCTTTTTTCAAGCCAAATCACACCATGACCATACCAAATCTCATTCCAATTACCAAATGCTTGTTTCTTGAGTTAAAACTCTTCCATTGTTACATTTATTATGTGTATGTGCTATCTTTTTAAATTGAGGCCACTCACATTTTGTTAGACCAGTTTGTAACCTTATGCTGCCAAACTATTTTGAAAAAAACAAAATAGCTGCACACACTTTTTTTTTTGGTTTAGTTTGTTCTAGTTTAGCTCATGAAGCCTTAGACCTCTAAATAATGTTTAAGATATGTGTGTGCATGAATCAAACAGTTATGTATGCCTTGCTTTGCTGTCATGACAGCCTACCTTCCATTGTGTGCTACAATTGCCACTTGATAGCCATTTTCTTGTTTTGTGCATTTCATGATCAAATTGAAGTATGGACTCATTCATAATCATGTTTGTGGCTTGTATGTGGTTTCCCTTTGATCTCACTCTGTTCCAATTATGATATGTGTCATTTTGTGCCTTTTATGCCTAAGTGAGCAGTTGATAGGTGATTTTCAATTCTAGGTTGTTTGTGGCCAATTTTGAGGTATAGACACATTTATTATCATGTTTATGGTTTGTGTGTGTGGTCTGCCCAAACAGATTATGCTTACTACATGATCTAGCCTCCAAGTTGCATTTTTCTTCAAAGCTTCTACTTGGCATGACAGTTGTGAATTTGAGTTTGACAGTATGATTATGAGCTTCTGGTTCTCACATTGCCTTCTATATGTTTTGGTTATGACCTCTGTTTAAATGACTCACATGGATGCTGTGATGATCAACATTGTCTTGTTTACATAGCTGTTATTTCTTTCTTCATAGTTTTTTGTTTGTGTAAATTAAGAATTGTCTTGAGGCTGATTTGAACCTTGTCATGTTCTTGGATTCACAATCATGTTGTTAGGCTTATTCTGATTCAAGCTTGCTCAACCTATGCCATTTATACTACTGTGAATGGATATTGCTTTGTATTAAATTTGTGTTTACTTTTGAGAAATACCGGTGGCCATTTCAATGAATAATGCTTACTTTGTTTTTGAGACCTACTGCTGCCATTGTTATCTTTCCAACCTGTTTTGATTTGCTTATCAGCATCAGTGCCCCTAATTTCATTGTTTGTGCCTGTTATATAATAGTTATTGGATTGTGTTCATTTTCTAGGTTTGAGTTTGGCCAGCTCATGCATAACTGTTATTGTGCTAAGTTTTTTTTATGCAGTTGGTTAAATTACTACTTTTGTTCATCTGAAGCAAGTTTATAACTGATTTGTTGGTTGTGAGTGCTTAGGTTTGTTAATTAAGTTTAGTATAGTTTGTTTTGAGCTTTTGGTGTTGGTTAGACATTTAGCAGGTTGTTGAAGTTTGAGGTGGTTTGTTTGGATTGGTCTCTGCTGGTATGCATAAGAGAGGACTTGTTGCTAGCAATCATCTCATGTGTCTTTTTGAAACCTTTAATTCTTGAGACTAGAGTTTAGTGTTTGACTTGTCCATCAGTTGTGGTCCTATGCTTGAAAACTCAATATCCCAAATACCATGATCATTTTACAACACAGTTACTACCAACTGAACATAAACCTCAACACCATTATGAAACAAGTCATGACCAATATTTGAATGCAAAAAAAGCATGTTACCTGTCACAAACCATATTTACCAACTGAACATAAACCTCAATATTCTTCTGCCACAATCCATGACACACATTTGCCAGCATATTCTGGTGCAGGAAAATCTTAATACTTCTCTGCTGTTAGCCATGTTCAAGTGAATTTTAGAGGAGGAAGTATTAGGGGAGAAGAACAACATCACCATGAGCAAAAAAAACTATTGCAACAATTTGTGAAACACAATACCCTTCACCTTGTGTTGGAATTCACAACCAATTTCCACCACAGCTTTCTACTAAAACCAAAGCACCCTATCCATCATCAAATATAGCATAGAGACTCTGACTGTTGGATGTTCCTTGTGCGTTGAAATGCCAAAACCAGTGGCTGCTATCCATTTAAGGCAGGGGGAATTCACCAAAATGTTTGGTTGAAATACCACTGCTACTTCTTTTCTTTTCCAATCAGCATACCCCTGCTATGTTCTGTTTATTCTTTGAATTTATACTGTTGGAACCGTGATGGCTGTCAGTCTTGTCTTGCTTATGAGAAAACTGTCATTTGAATCTTCTTTACATCTTGGTTTGTCATGTGTGGAACTTGTCTTATTTTGTTTACTCATGATCCATCAAACTCACTGTGGTGAGTAATGACTTTGTGTGTTTTGTTCATGTTACATTGTGAAACTCAGGTGCATTGTTTGAAATTGCTTAAACTTGTTGATGCTGAGGTCTGCCAGCTTAATCCAATCTCAGTTATTGGTGTTGATCCTATCCATGTCATAATTGTTGCCTAGGTCAGTTTAAATGTGATTGGTGTGTTGTGACCATGTGAGGCATTTGGTTCTTGATTCTGTCAGCTTCCTTCTTTAAGCTTGGTCCACATTTGATAACATCAAGTTTTATTATTACCATTTATGTGGAAGTCATTATCAGTGCTACTATGGTTTGGCTGAAATTTGCTTTGCCCTTGAGTGGTCTGTTTTAAACTTGGTCTAGATGCAAGTCGTTTAAAGAAAGCAACTTCACCATTTGCAACTCACATACTCTTTTTCTACTCTAGTGTTTTTTGAACAAACTTGCTGTTAGAACTCTTTCTACATCATATTTACAATGTGTGCAGACCCTCATTGGTGTGTAGTTTCATCAATTTTAATCATTGCCCCCAAAAACACATTTTAAACTTCATTCGAATTTTGAGTTGTGAGCATATTTTGAAAAATCCAACAGCACCATTGTGTTCCTCGTGAAGAATCAAGCATTTTTTACTTTTATTTCACTCAATTTGGATGAGTTTTGAAGAAGTTACGAATCAAACCGTTTATAGCATTTCACTTGTTTTTGCTTCCAAGCCTGCCCAGAAAATCATTTAAGCTTGCCTTATCTATTTATGAGGGTGGCTTTGTACTTGGATGTACAGCCACCCCAGTGGAAATCAAAATATGGTAAGGCAGCGGGTTTTGGTCCCGTTATTCGGAGGTTCGAATCCTCCCGTCCCAGATGATATCGATTCAATTCATCACATTGACATGAATCGATATCATAGGTTTTTCGCCATAAACCAAAAATAAAAAAGGCTGTTCTTGGGTGGGGATATATTGTTCATTCATATAACTTTCAATTACTTATTAATTAAATAAATTAATATACGAATTAAAATTAAATTTGATAACTATTCGATAAAAAACAATGACTATTCATTATATAATATTTTAATTTAAAAAGGAATAAAAATCTATGGAAAGACAAGGGAGGGTTCAATTCGATGCTGTTTACTAGAGGTATGCTGTTTACTAGAGGTTTAGAATACAGGTGTGGTTTAAGTAAATCAATAGATAGTTTTGGTCCTATTGATGAAAATAACGGTGGAGACCCATCTAGTTTAACTGATATGCATAATAACATTCATAGCTGGAAGAACAATAGTGAAAATTGTAGTTATAGTCATGGTCATGCTGACTATTCAGCAGATGTGAACAACATACATAATCATAATTTGCTATTTGCAAAAAGTCTATCCGTTTGGGATAGTCATAATAATAGTTATGACATATATTATGCTTATAATGATGATAGTTGGACTTATAACATGAATTGTTGCATTTGGAATTATCTTCGTTCTCAAATCTGGGAGGATATTGACAAATCCATGAATTGTTGCATTTGGAATTATCTTCGTTCTCAAATCTGGGAGGATATTGACAAATCCAATGCCAGTTACCGTGATATGGACTTTAAGAGTTACATTTGCGATAGGGGCCAAAATACTAGTGAAAGCCATAATACAAATATAATAATATTAAGGAACACAAATGCTAGAAATCAGACAGTAGATCCAGATGATGCAGATATATCTGATGTATCAGATATATCAGATCCATTGGAGATAGATCTATCTGATCCATCCGATACAGATTATCGATACGATCCATTTGCTGATACATCAGATATATCAGATCCATTGGAGATAGATCTATCTGATCCATCAGATACAGATTATCCATATTATATAGATGGATCTGATATATAAGATCCATTGGAGATAGATCTATCTGATCCATCAGATACAAATTATCCATATTATATAGATGGATCGGATATATCAGATCCATTGGAGATAGATCTATCTGATCTATCAGATACAGATTATCCATATTATATAGATGGATCTGATATATCAGATCCATTGGTGATAGATCTATCTGATCTATCAGATACAGAGGAGGATCTATATGGTATATACGATTTAGATGAGATCTATTATCTGGATGGATCAGATAGATCAGATCCATTGGAGACATTGGAGACATTGGAGACATCAGATCCAGATTATATAAATGATCCGGATGGATCAGATAGATCAGATCCATTGGAGACATTGGAGACATCAGATCTAGATGAGATCTATTATCCAGATGGATCAGATAGATCAGATCCATTGGAGACATTGGAGACATCAGATCCAGATTATATAAATGATCCGGATGGATCAGATAGATCAGATCCATTGGAGATATCTAATACATCAGATACAGATATATGTCAGAAGGATAGTGATGATAATAGCAAAATGGATATGCTGGCTAAAATGAACCAATATAGTCATTTATGGGTTCTATGCAAAACTTGCTCTAGCTTAAATTTTAAACAATTTTTAGTAGCCAAACTGAGTATTTGCGAATACTGTGGTGAGCATCTGAAAATGAGAAGTTCAGATAGAATAAAACTTTTGATTGATCCAGGTACTTGGAATCCTATGGATGAAGACATGGTTTCTTTGGATCCCATTAAATTTGATTCGATTGAAAAAATTCCAATTCTTCAATGGGATCCCATTGCATTCGACTTGATTTTCGTGGATCCTCCCGAGGAAGAGGAAGAGGAAGAAGATCAACCTTATATCGATCGTCTTGATTCTTATCAAGAAAAGACAGGATTACCAGAAGCGGTTCAAACAGGCATAGGTCAACTAAATGGTATTCCTTTAGCAATAGCTGTTATGGATTCTGAGTTTATCGCGGGTAGTATGGGATCCGTAGTGGGTGAGAAAATAACTCGGTTGATCGAATATGCTACCAATCAACTTTTACCTCTAATTATAGTCTGTGCTTCCGGAGGAGCGCGTATGCAAGAAGGAAGTTTGAGCTTAATGCAAATGGCTAAAATTTCTTCTGCATTATATAATTATCAAATAAATAAAAAGTTATTCTATGTAGCGATACTTACATCTCCGACTACTGGTGGGGTAACCGCTAGTTTTGCGATGTTGGGGGATATCGTTATTGCGGAACCAAACGCAACCATTGCATTTGCGAGTAAAAGAGTGATTGAACAATTGTTGAATGTGGAAGTGCCTGAAGGTTCCCAATCGGCGGACCTTTTATTCGACAAGGGAGTATTGGATTCAGTCGTACCACGTCATTTTTTAAAGCAGTTTTTAACGGAGTTATTTCAGTTCCATGGTTTCATTCCTTTGACTAAAAATTTGAAGATTGAATAAAAACAATTTTAAACTTAGTTTTACGTTATTTTGCACTAAGAATCTATTTTTTATTTCTGCCTTTTTGTAACTAGTTTGTAGCTAATACCTTATTTTACACTATTTTATTTAAACTAATTTAGACTAAGAATATCCTTTTTATTTCTCCTATTTATTTTGTAACTCTGATATATAGATCATGGATCTAAAAGACTTGAAAAGATTTTTGAAAAACCTATGGATCTGGAAAAAAAGACACTGTATTATTATTACAGTGACACATATTTTCCTGCATGGAACTTACCTTTTAAGTATATTAAAAGTAATAGTTCTTCTCCTAGAAAGAAGCCCGTATCCGCCACACATCCTGGTGGATTTATTTATTTTATGTTTTGCGGCCTTTCTTTTTAGGAATATCTTTTTCGTTTTGTTTTTTTATTTCCTTAGAACAATTTTGGATTATTTACTTCAAATGATCCGTGAATTCATTAAGGACGAGACAAACAAAAAAGTTTTATGTTCCTATGTGTCAGAAACTACTTGGATGGACACTATCCCGGGTTTCCAACACGTTTTTTTTCGAATTTTAAGTCATGTCAGTTTTTTCGTGGGATTCTTTTCTCTCTATCGTTTCTATAGCAATCTTACTCGGATGAACATTTTCGATGCACCGATTAAATGGCTCTTTGTGCTACCAAATAAGATTGTTTCTCTGCTTATCACTGCAATTGTCAGTATCCTAAGCGGTATCATGTTTCAATATATTAATTATTGGACTGTAATTGGCGGAACTAATTTTTTCGATAAAAGAAAAGGAGTGCTATATATTACTCGTTACAGACTTCCTATTCCTGGAATAAGTAGCTCTAATGTTCGCCGCATTTTAATAAAAGAAATTTCGTGCCTCATACTAGTAACTAACCGAATCTGGGGTGATGTCCTTTATATTGAAACCAGAAAACACGGGACCTTGCCGATGACTCCTACTAAAGATGGTCGTAGATACATGCTTACAAAACATGCTTTGGAGTTGTCCAGATTCTTGAATATACCATTGGACATTATTTACAAAGAATACTAATAAAAAAGCGAGTTTAGCCGATCGAGTTTAGCCTATAAAGCGAGTTTAACCTATAATATATTAATTATTATAGGCTAAACTCGCTTTTTTATTAGTATTTACTTGTAATAGAACTTATGCTTGATAGAAATATTAGAATATATAGAATATTCTAGAGTTGAAAAATGAGATGAAACTGAGGACGAAAAATGGCAAAAAAGAAAGCATTCATTCCCCTTCTATGTCTTACATCTATAGTCTTTTTGCCCTGGTGCATCTCTTTTACATTTAAGAAAAATCTGGAATCTTGGATTACTAATTGGTGGAATACGAAAGAATCCGAAATTTTCTTGAATACTATTCAAGAAAAAACTATTGTAAAGAAATTCCTAGAGTTCGAGGAACTGTTCCTCTTGGATGAAATGCTAAAGGAATACCCGGAAACACATTTACAAAACCTTCGTATCGAAATCTACAAAGCGACTATCCAATTGATTCAGACGAGCAACGAAGATAATATCCATACGATTTTTCATTTCTTTACAAATATAATATGTTTCCTTATTCTAAGTGTTTATTCTATTAGGGGTAATCAAGAACTCATTATTCTTAACTCTTGGGTTCAAGAATTTGTATATAACTTAAGTGACACAATAAAAGCTTTTTCTATTCTTTTCTTAATTGATTTCTCTGTAGGATACCATTCGACTGGTCTTTGGGAACTAATGATTTGGTCTGTCTATAAAGATTTTGGATTTACTCTGAATGATCATATTATATCTTTTCTTGTTTCTATTTTGCCAGCCATTTTAAATATTATTTTTAAATACTGGATTTTCCGTTATTTAAATTGTGTATCTCTGTCGCTTTTATCGATTTATGATTCAATTCCATTCCGTGAATGACTGAAAAAAGGACCCACTGATCCAATTCTAAAATTTGTTTAGCTTTTATATAAAAGCTAAACATTCCAAATTTCACTTATTCATTTTCGTTTTACTCGTATTCTTCCTATATTATAGGCAAATAATTGGAGTAAATAGCAGAATCATGGATAGGGAACTGTGCTAGTTCCCTACCTAATCTTATTGTAGAAATTTTCAGGATCAAGGATTGGACCATGCAAACTAGAATTGCTTTTTCTTGGATAAATAAAGAGATTACCCGATCTATTTCCGTATTGCTCATGATCCATATAATAACTCGAGCACACATTTCAAATGCATATCCCATTTTTGCCCAACAAGGTTATGAAAATCCTCGAGAAGCTACCGACCGGATTGTATGTGCTAATTGCCATTTAGCTAATAAGCCCGTAGATATTGAGGTTCCACAAGCGGTACTTCCCGATACTGTATTTGAAGCAGTTGTGCGAATTCCTTATGATATGCAAGTGAAATAAGTTCTTGCTAATGGTAAAAAGGGGGCTTTGAATGTAGGAGCTATTCTTATTTTACCAGAGGGTTTTGAATTGGCCCCTCCTCATCGTCTTTCGCCTGAGATTAAAGAAAAGATGGGTAATTTGTCTTTTCAAAGCTATCGTCCCACAAAAAAAAATATTCTTGTGATAGGCCCCGTTCCTGGGAAAAAATATAGTGAAATTACCTTTCCTATTCTTTCTCCAGATTCTGCTACTAAGAGAGATGTTTACTTCTTAAAATATCCTCTATACGTAGGCGGGAACAGGGGAAGGGGTCAGATTTATCCCGACGGAAGCAAAAGTAATAATAATGTTTATAATGCTACAACAACATGTGTAGTAAACAAAATAATACGAAAATAAAAAGGTGGATACGAAATAACGATAGTAGATGCATCAGATGGACGTGAAGTGATTGATATTCTACCGCTAGGACCAGAACTTCTTGTTTCAGAGGGTGAATCTATCAAACTTGATCAACCATTAACGAGTAATCCTAATGTGGGTGGATTTGGTCAGGGGGATGCAAAAATAGTGCTTCAAGATCCATTACGTGTCCAAGGTCTCTTGCTCTTCTTGGCATCTATTATTTTGGCACAAATATTTTTGGTTCTTAAAAAGAAACAATTTGAGAAGGTTCAATTGTTCGAAATGAATTTTTAGGAATTTGAATTAATCAACATATTAAGCTGGTAAAAAGAACTCCATTTTTGTTGATAAATTCTATAAACACCCTTGGTTCTTTCTAGTTTTTGTAGATATACTATATTTAGAAAATTCCTTGTACCGTAGAATTAGTTCAGTCATAGTATGTATATTGTGAAGAAGACTATTTGGTTCTTGGTTTTTTTTTTCAACTGCACAATTAATTCGAACCATATGATTATGTAGTTGTTTTCGGATTTTAATGTTCTAGAAATCCTCTAATTTCTATTGTTTTAGAATTAACTCGATACTAAACCTAAAAAAATAGGTAGGTACAGAATATTAAGTAAAGTAGAAATAGACAAAGGGAAAACAGGCTCTTTGACCATTAATATCAAAGAAAAAAATAACTAATTAGTGGTTCTACTATAATAGAGAGTATGGAGAGGCCCTATTTTTGTTTTTCTTCGAAAAAGAATCCAATTAATAAAAATATTCATGGTACCCATTCGTGCAGATGAAATTAGTCAAATTATCCGTGAACGGATTGAGCAATATAATACCGAAGTAAAAATTGTAAATACAGGTACCGTACTTCAAGTAGGCGATGGCATTGCTCGTATTTATGGTCTTGATGAAGTAATGGCAGGTGAATTAGTAGAATTTAAAGAGGGTACAGTAGGCATTGCTTTGAATTTGGAATCCAAAAATGTTGGTGTTGTATTAATGGGTGATGGTTTGATGATACAAGAGGGAAGTTTCGTGGGGGGCCTTATGAAAATTTTGAAATTCGCTGCTTTGATAGAGAAAAGGAGCCAGAATGGAATGATTTTGAATATCGATTCATTGGTAAAAAAATCGTCTCCTACTTTTGAATTGCCGAAACGAGAACTTTATGTGAGAATTGAGGCCCCCAAGGGAGAATTAGGAATTTTTCTAATAGGAGATCAGAATGGTTTTCCTTGGAGATGGAAAATTCGTCCACCCGGTTTTATCAATTTGCAAATTCTTCCTCAATTAGTTAAAAGAATGAAATTGACTGATATTATGACAATACTAGGTAGCATAGATATCATTATGGGAGAAGTTGATCGTTGAAATGATAATTGATACAACGGAAGTCCAAGATATAAACTCCTTTTCCGGATTGGAATCTTTCAAAGAGATCTATGGAATTCTATGGATACTTTTACCAATTTTGATTCTTGTCTTGGGAATTACAATAAGTGTACTAGCAATTGTATGGTTAGAAAGAGAAATATCTGCAGGGGTACAACAGCGTATTGGACCTGAATATGCTGGTCCTTTTGGAATGCTTCAAGCTCTAGCAGACGGAACAAAACTACTATTCAAAGAGAATCTTATTCCATCTAGGGGAGATATTCATTTATTCAGTATTGGACCATCCATATCAGTCATATCCATTCTAATAAGTTATTCAGTAATTCCGTTTGGCTATAATTTTGTTTTATCTGATTTCAATATGGGTGTTTTTTTATGGATTGCTATTTCGAGTATTGCTCCCATTGGACTTCTTATGTCAGGATATGGCTCAAATAATAAATATTCCTTTTTGGGTGGTCTACGAGCTGCTGCTCAATCGATTAGTTATGAAATACCATTAACTCTATGTGTCTTATCAATATCTCTACGTGCGATTCGTTGAAACCGAAAAAGCTATTCGATGCTATTCTATTGCTATACTCCTCTCTTTATAGTACTATATTTCTATATAGTACTATAATTTTTGTATAGTACTATATAGCGAATAAATTGAATAGAAACCTTCATTATCTTTATTTTCTTTTTCAAAATTCTGATTGAAGAACTAAATTAGATAGTTATATGAGTGAAATAAAACAGCTTATATTGAATCTAATTTCAGAATACTAGATT